CACACACACACACACACACACACACACTCTCTCACACACACACACACACACACACACACTCTCTCACACACACACACACTCTCTCACACCCCCTCGCACACTCGCACACACACACACACACACACACACACACACTCATCAGAGATGGTCACTGGATGACTGAGAATAATCTGATCAACATCCGAATGCGTTCTGAATCTTCAAATCTGACACATCTGACTCGCAAACACACCTTTTACTCCAGTCCTGCTGGAATATTACAGCTTCGAGATACAAAAACCCCAAAGTTACTCACCAGAAGAAAGCAGAATGACCAGAGAATACAGAGACAACATCATAACAGCAAATCCTCCGTCAGAAAAACACAGAAAGTTTCGCGTAACTGACGAGTCAAACGCGTTAAAGTGTGACAGGCGCTCTGCACAGACCGAGCGTGCTGCTCTCCTCACAAGCAGCAGAAGCAGAGGAAGCCGTGCGAGCGGCACCTTTCATTTCTGACTTCAGTCCGAGCAGAACCTCTCGCTGGCGCTCGAACGAGCCGTTCTTCTGAACCGATTCCTTTAATGACTCGGCTGGACCGAATCACTTGGTTGGAAGTAAAACTGTGGGATTGGAACAATATCTGGAATAATTAGTGCTACTGTTATTAATAACCAACATTATTAAATGAATTAGATTTACTGGGAAAAGTATTGGTAATTTTGTTTTTAACAATAATGTTGGAATACAACATTTAATCTATATAATCTAATCAAAAATATAGTTGCAAGCAGCAATAAGACTAGGAAGATTAAAAAAAAGACACATTTGAGAGATCAATCAAAGGATTCAGTGACTCCGCTCTGTGAACACGTTCATCCAAAACGAATCGTCCGAATGAACCGACTCCCTGAATTGAATCGTACTTCTCGATGTTCGCGCGCTCTCTCCCCCGCTGAGCGCAGTCGTGGGCGCGCTCTCTGAAGGATCGAACCGCAGCAGGACCCGGATTCAATCACCGTGATCTTATGAGAGAGAGAGAGTGTGTGTGTGTGTGTGTGAGAGAGAGAGTGTGGCTCCAGATCAGCCTGAGATTCTCAGACGCTCCTCTCTCTCGCGTTCTCATCTCGAGTGGGCGTCCGCAGGGAACCTGAGCGCATTTGACAAGACCGAAATATACGTGTTGAGATGAGTGAGGAAAACAGCAAACACTCCACACGTCTACAGGAGCTCAAACACTGCAGGATCAACACGAAATCATGAGGAGAAACACACACGGGCCTGTAAAGAACACGCTTTCATCCGACGCCTTAAAGGGACAGTTCACCTTCAGCTGCTGCTCATTGACTTCTGTCCCTTTAAACAGCGGTCAGGAAAACTGAACTCAACCTTTAGACTCATTTAAGTTAGCATGTGTATTTGTCCAGAATCATATTTGATCCATGAAAAAGCTTTGACTGGATAAAACACTCTAAACTATCAATCAGACGTGCAGGAGATCGAGTGTGAAACAGGTTTAACAGCAAAGTCTGATCATTTAGAGACATCGCTGACACACTGGGATTTATAGGGTTAAACATGTTTTCTGCTTGTAGTTTAGAAGGCGAATTTCACAAATCCATATCCAGCTCATGTTTCACTCCACAAATCAATAAAAAATGAATAAATTCTTGAGCTCTGAGGGTGAAACACGAGCTGGATGTGATTCTGTGCGTGTATGAAGGTCTAGAAGCGGCGGTCAGTCGGGGTCAGAGGTCACTGAGGTCACCGACCCAAACATTTACAGATCCGCCCGAGACGCTGGAAACTAACAGGGCTTCCTCTAAAGCAGCGCTTCTTTAATCAGAGGAAGACCGTGGCTTTGTGAGATACGATGAATAAATGCATGAGCAAAACTAGACTCCGTGTCTGCTATTAGATTGAATGGATAATTAACTGGTCGTGCTGAAAGGACGGCGCAAACACAGCATCATGAAAAATACATCTCAAACACAGCTTAGCTTCAAAGACACCCGAAGCCTGTCGCTCACATCGTTAGTGTGTTCTGCGTCTGTCAGTCGAGAGCACTGATGAAGCGACTGCAACAGCTGTAAGTGTTTCAGCATCTGCTGCGCTGACAGCACTGCGCATGTAAACACACGCGGACTCACGTGCCAGCAGCTGCTGGATCTACAGGCCCAGAGTTTTGCTTTAGCGTTCAGAACAGCATTTCATCCCTCCGTAAGGAGCAGAAACAGCTTGGTGCCGTTCAATATTCAGTGGCAGACTGCCACGTGACAGACACTGAAACCAAACTCTCACGCTCGCCGAGAGAACGAACTCAGATGAAATCCGAGCCTGCTTTGCTAACACTTATTTTCACAAGGCACACTTTCGTCCGTCTCCAAATGAGATGCTTAATTCAGTTGTGCTCTGCTCGTCTCGTTTTAAACAGATTCCCCATAAATGTAACGTCTGGAGGCGGCACAAAAGGTTTTAGTTTGAGAAATGATTTGACTGAAAATTCGTCTGCACGCCTCCAGCTGAAGCCTCATTTGCACAGTAAGATCACCGAAGACGACAGATGAGTTCTGTTCGGATGGGTCTGGAGTCACTAATCCGCAGGATAAACAGCGGGAAAAATCCTTGTTCGGATCATCTGCGCCGCAGCTGAGAAGACTGATTAGCGGCGGAGAGAATCGAGCGCCCTAGAAGCACAAAAGCAAGATGAAGAGGTCGAGGCAGATGGAGAACTAGAAGCTGCGCACGTTTCACGCGAGTGCATTCGGAAGGTCAATCTGTTTTCCGTTTCTTAGTGCACCTAAAGAAACAAATTTGACGAGACTTGTTTGTCCTTGATGTGAGAAAGCAGCGTTTCCTTCAGAGGAACATTTGATTCGATTTTAGATGAATGTTGGGAGAGAAACACCTACAGAAGCTGAATTTGGCACCTTTGGAATCTTGGAATAAAAAGCCTTAGTTATCAGCTTGGAAAGGTGTTTTTTCTGTCTAAAACTCTTTTACACTTGCAGCAGTACAATAGAAGATTCATTTTTGGCTTTACGAATCTCTCAGTGATCAGTTCTTAAAAGAGCCATGCGTAGTTCACCAAAAATGTGCTCACCCGGAGGTCATCCCAGATGAGTTTGTTTCTTCATCAGGTTTGGAGAAATGTAGCACTGCATCAGTGTCTCAGCAATGGATGCTCGATGTTTCCAGCTAATGTTGATTTCTGGGTCAACTATTCCTTTAATAATCCCCCCAAAAAAGTGTTTCATTTAAAGTGCAGAGGAACACAAACTGTCGAGGGAATAAAGTCCCAGACAGAATTCCTCATAAACTGCGGTCGTGTTTGTTCTCTGAATAAATCAGTGTGTGTTTGTCTGTGAATCCACATGAAGGAGGCGTGAGAGCCGCTGCATTCATCAGCTCCTCATTGACTCTGTATGGAGCAGAAAAACAAAGTGCCAATCAACAGCGAGTGGACTCTGTTCAGCGTTTGCTGCCAGTCTTCAGGACGAGCGCTTTGATGTGCGACTGAACATCAGATGGGCTTCCAGCGGCACGGGAGAAATACTGCCGCAGTGCTGCATAAATACAGCCCGTTTACAAAAGAGTCCAGCATGAAAGAGTCACGACACGGGGGGAATACACGAGTTCATGTGGGCTGAGTAATGACAAACCATTAATGGTAACGTTACTGAACCTCTGCAGAGTCAAAGGGCACATGAGCAACATCTCTAATCACTGAATGACGAATATAAATGTGTTACTGGACAAACATGATGCATTACACATCTGAACGGCCACAACATCCAGACAAGATTCTCTCAAAGTAACCGTTCTTCCGGTAACGTTAATAAAAGTTATCTGGCCTTTATTAATGTTCTCAAAACATTACTTACACATTCATGGAATGCTTCACTTCTGAAAGAGTTTAGTTGGACGTTTGTCTAATGTTCTCTGAACGTTCTGAAACCAGTAACATTCAAATGCAACATTACAATAATGTTCACCAAACAATGGAATGTTCCCGTAACATTTGCATAACCTCATGGAAACGTTTGGGAAACATTAAGAGAACATATTTTGTTAGCTGGGAAGCTGCCAGACTATGTGTGTGTATATATATACACACATACAATAACATATAATATATCAAATAAAAAAAATACAAATACAATTAAACAAAAATTGTGTTCAGGCAAATCCAAGGCGGTAGACAACAGACGAGTTTTGAAAAGGTGGTAGTTTTTGTGCTCTTCAAGCCTCTGGAAAGCAGATGAAGCAGAAAGATGACGTGTTGAGAAGATAGAAGATGATTTTCAGATGTTGCTGCAACTCTTGATTGCACACAAACATATAAATATATTATGAATAAATATCATACATCACGAGGAAACATCTGTTACCTTCAGAACACGGCGACTCCTAAAGTCTTGATTCAACAGTAGAGAGAAAAAAATCTAATATCATGGGCAAATACTGGTTTATCAAGCCAAAGAGCTGATCAAACACAGTGGGAGGAACTGAATCTAATGGAATCAGAGGACAGAATTCCTAGGCCAAAAGATTCTAAACCAAATGCAGCAGAGGAGAAAAAGACTCCACTGATTTCTGATGTGTTTGATAACTATACACTGATCTCTAACTGTTTTGTTGAAGTAACGAAGGCGATATTAGCGGGTCACGACGCTCCTGCAAGCAGACTGCGGATCCCAGAGCCCTTATTATTCCCAGCCGTTCCTCTCAGAGAAACTCTAATCCAGCCCAAATCCCACCGCAGTCTCCGGCTGATCCCGATCTCTCTGATGACATGAAGAGAAACGCCGGAGTCGATCGTGAGATCAGCACGCCGAAACAGAGCGTCCCGTCTGAGATTCCCTCGAGATCTGCACCTCCACCCTCATTTAAAACCAGCAGGCAGAAGCGGTGGATCAAATATTGAAGACCTGCTCTAAAGAAACCTCCTGCACTCGTCCTGCGTGTCCGTATTAAAGCGTTTGAGGCTGATCATGGCAGCTGTTGCTCAGAAGAAAGAT